GGCAGCCATCATATATGTATGTATGTACGAGTGTGCGCTTGTAGTGGAATGGTGGAAAATGACCACAACTGGTACTATGGAATCCGAAAAATAACCGAATCACCTATTGCTGAATTAAATCGAATTAGTGTCTATATGGAAGACGCTAGCCTTCTTCCTGATTAGAGAACATATAATCTCTTTCGTGAGATGAATGTGACCGGGTGTGCTTTTCTGAGGCAAGCCTCATTAGACACTAATGACATCATAGAAACATCACTGTCTACCAATATGGCATCCGACTTGATTTCTGTTACAGTCTCAATAATAAAGGGTGTAGGTCAGCTAGTGAACTCGCTCAGCAGTATAAATATCAGTATCCAGAAAGCCAAGCTAGTGCAGGTGGTCTGTCATACAATAAATGTGGTGTGACAGAAATTCTTGGAGTTCTATTGAGCCAATATATGTCATCGGTGACAAGATATTCAATGTGAATTTGTGACCCTGGGTTTCACGGTTTTGCGATCGTCAGACAAACAAAAGATTGTCTGACGATTTCACGTTTTGGCGATCGTCAGACAAATTATTGTTTGATGACCACAAAAGCGTGAAACCCAGGATCACAAACTCACATCAATCCAGCTAAATATGTTAGCTCTATCTCTGATATTGAGCGCTTTCCAATAATTACCACGCATATATATAGATTTCATTCATATATATATATATATATATATATATATTTCATTCATGTATATATATATATATTTCATTATATATATATATATATATATATATATATATTTCATTCATATATATATATATATATATATATATATATATATATATATATATATATTTCATTCATATATATATATATATATATATATATTATGTATATATTTCATTCATATATATATATATTTCATTCATATATATATATATTTCATTCATATATATATATATATATATATATGTATATATTTCATTCATATATATATATATATGTATATATTTCATTCATATATCTATATATATATGTATATATATATATATATATATATATATATATATATATATATATATATATATATATATATATATATATATATATATATATATATATATATATATATATAAAAGATGGCACAGGGTAGTAATGGTAAGTTATTTGGATTGAGGAATCGGAGATATTGAGTTCGAATTCCAGTAGAATCCATTACATTCACTTACGTGCTAATACCCTTGGGAAAGGTATGAATCCTCTTTGTCTACCTCCAGCTATAAGTAAATACCAGGACAGACTGGGTTCTATAGCCTTGGATGGCAACTGGTCTAGGAGGAGGACAACTCTGAATTCAAAACCTGTGGAGGGTCGTTTGGGTGCAACTCAGTGCACCGGGTTTCTGTATTCGGCCCTTCAAAAAGTGTGGCTGGTTCTACACAAAGCCTCCACCACTATAATCAAATCTCATGTGCTGTTGTAGGTTCCTAGGAACTGATCTGCTTAAAACACTCATACGTCGAATTCGACGGGAGAGTGTCGAGTATATATATATATATATATATATATATATATATATATATATATATATATATATATATATATACAGAGAGAGAGAGAGAGAGAGAGAGAAAGTTTTGAATGAGAGATCGGAAATTATGATTCGTTGTATACTCACTAAAAAGTTCTTTTTGAGTTCGCATCAACCAGGATGAAAAGAAAGTATGTGTTGTAGAGTAGTTTTCACAGTGGAGGTTTGTATTTTCGCTAAGTCGGTCCTAAAAGGGTCCGACGTACAAAACGTTAGGAACTTGAAATAAGAGTTAACGACGCAGCAATCTAGTTGTGAGGTTGATACTTCAATGTCCGACATCGACTGACTCACTCAACTCCACTGAGCTCAACTGGCTACTGCTACTACTACTTATTATCTGTGGGAGAGTTTATTACAATAGAATAGGTAAGGTTCTGGTATAACAGTATGTAAAGTTCATTTACTCCCCTCCCCACGCATTTACTATTCCTTTGCTTTTCTCCTCTCCACTTCTATCACAATTCACGCCGTGCATTTATTTATTTATTTTTAAACAATAAAGCATTTATTCATTTTAAAAAAAATAAAGCGTTAGGAAATCAACTGATTGAAATCGCCTGAAGATACCAAAAGTTGAGATACTGGAATCATCTGATCTCCTAATTTTTGTTAATTAAAAGCTCTACGTTTTAATTCCTTTATTTTCTTTTTTATATATCTATTGAGCCCTTTTTTTTTGTTGTGGATTCTGGGATGAAATCCGGTACCAATAAATAACAAACGCCAAGAAGGAATATAGGAAAATAAATGTATTAACGTAATAATACAAACTGGTAATGCAGGTTAGTAGTTCCAGGAATGCGGGTTAGTAGCAAAAAATATATATACAGTCTTTGGTATCGATGTGTCGCTATATGACTTCTTACTGAGTCTAAGTGCTCGCTACTGTGACTCTTGCTCGCTACATTCTTTGTCGTTCGTTCTTCGTTCTACCCTCGGGTATTCACTAGCAGTACTATATGTATACCCTGGGTGCGTCCATTTGTGTAAAAAGGGGAGAACTCCTCAACATTTTTAATACTACTGTTTCCTGACCATTCACTTATTATATATATATATATGTGTGTGTGTGTGTGTGTGTGTGTGTGTGTGTGTGTGTGTGTGTGTGTGTGTGCTAACAGCAAGCAAAATTTTTTCTTCTCCTGATGATGGCCATGTTGGCCGAAACTAGTCGAAGAATCTAAATGGAATAATAATAATAAAAAACGAAAGAATATTAATATACAACCCAGTGTGTCTGAATATTTCAATTTTTTTATATTTTTTATTGTTCAATATATATATATATATATATATATATATATATATATATATATATATATATAGGGGGGTTGGCCGAATCTAGTCGAGGAATCTAAATGAAATAATAATAAAAACGAAGGAATATTAATCTACAACCCAATGTGCCTGAAGATTTTAATTTTTTAATATTTTTTATTGTTCAATACATATATATATATATATGTGTGTGTGTGTGTGTGTGTTTGTGTGTTTGTGTGTTTTGTAGTCTAGTTAGCACCCCTTCAGCACTCTGATGTTCTGGCTCATAGCCTTAAATAGTCTACGATTAAGGACTTCAACAGTTGATTACTAAGTTGATAAACATAAACCGAACCCTTTATTTTATCCAGTGGATAAAGTCATTGGTTTGAAGTAATCCAGTGACTTGACCCCAAAAAGTTGTGAGTTCAATACCTGGCTACAGCAGAGGTGAACAAAAACTTTTACTACTTTTTTAGCTCTCTAAATTATCACACACTTTTTTAAATATTCTATATATTTTTATTTCTTTCTGTTTTTGTACTTAAAGAATGATATTAAAAGCCATTAACATTTCCCACTGCAAATAAACAAAATAAGATTACTTCCTTGTAATGTTTTATTGATATTAATTATTATTATTATTATTATTAATTTTATTGACCGTCAAACTATTCATCATTACTCTTGTTGTATCATAGTTATCACCCCATTCAGCACTCTACCACATGGCCTGGCTCATAGCCTTTAATAGTCTACTATTAAGGACTTCAACAATTGATTAATAGGTTGATTAATAAGTTGATACTAATCTGATTAATGTTCGGAGTGATCCTTCGTTTGACTATACAGCATTTGACCCTCCTGTATTCCTTGTAAGTTGTCTTGTTAATTGTTTTGTAACTTATTGTTCTATGTTTTGTGTATGTATCCTTTAGCACCGGATACTCATGCACTCATTCTTCTCTGTGTATCATTCCTCGAAGGCAATACTATATATATATATATATATATATATATATATATATATATATATATATATATATACAAATATAGGTAACTATACTCGTTTTTCGAAAAACCTTCGAAGTTTTGATTTGCCAATAATCAATTCAATCTCGAGGGAAAAAAAGGTTTTAAAAAAAAAAAGAGCGAGAAACATGAAAGTCTGTGGAAAAAAAAAATAGTTTTATATTATATATATATATATATATATATATATATATATATATATATATATATATATATATATATATACCCGTGTGTGTATGTGTGTGTGTGTGTATGTTTATTTTGCCAAGTACAATGGTAAGCAAGGAAGTGTAGCAGAGAATCAGTCCTGTTTTGTCCTTTTAGATAAAGCAGTTTTAAAAAAAAGAAATGTTCACTTTAGGAGCTTAAATTTGTGATCCTGATGTGTACAGTATTAGCAGAATCCAATGGATATTTTCATAAATACATACATACATACATACATACATATATATATATATATATATATGTGTGTGTGTGTGTGTGTGTGTGTGTGTGTGTGTGTGTGTGTGTGTGTGTGACATCATAGAAACATCAATGTCTACAGATATGGCTTATGGCTTGATTTCTCTTGCAGGCACAGTAATAATCAGCCAGTGGACTCAGTATTATAAATATCAGCATCCGGAAAAAGAAGTTGCCGTTGAAAGGGGCTTGACATGGAATAAAAGTTATCCGGCATTTATGTCCCTATTAGGTCTAATTAGACAACAGGAGACGCCATCAGCTACAAGATATTCACACATAAGCATGTTCTCAACGTGAATTGAATCCATGAAGTGGCCGTACTTGGCCACAAGTTGACTTCCACTATGCCTAGTGGTTAGAACATTAGTGTTCGATACCATGACACCTCGGTTCCAATCTCACTATGGACGATTTGTCACTTACTGTTTAGATCATCCGGGAAATGATCCGAGCGCGCGGGACTGTGTGTAAGTGCCAGGAAACCGCCTGATTGGCCCAAGCCTTTTGATTGAAAATTGGGTAGACAGAACTATTCTAAATCCGTCGGTTATTGTAACTGTATGAAGTCACAAGTCATCGTGACCGAGAGTTTGCATGTACTGGCGTTGTTCAAAACTTGATTACGCCAAACGCTCACTCCCAGAAAGGGCCTACGGCTACGTCACTTTGTAACACCGGTTCCCGTTCGACCACCTATGTTAAGCAACGTTGACCCTGTTCAGTACCTAAATGGGTGACCGCTTGGGGAATACCAGGTGCTGTAAGCTTGGATGTGCGAGTGGTGTAATGGATAACGGCTTGGAATTGTTAATCGGAGAGCCGAGTTCCACTTTCCGTTGGATCCGTTATATTCGCTTACGCGCAAATACACTTGTGAAAGGTAAAAATTCACCTCTTCTCCCCCAGCTATGGATTAATTAGTAAGACCTGTAGCACTAAACAATTATTATTTCCAAAAACAATTCTTACAATCTAAAAATATTTTCTGGCTTTAAATAACCTACAAAAGGTTGATAAGCCGTAGAAACCGGATCAATAAATCACTCACAGAAACTGCAACTAAGGTCTGTTCAGTATAGTTTTGTTACAAACAAGATGCTGTTTCTGCGGATGTTGAACGGGAATAAATGTGCCTGAGCATGCGTCTGCAACAGGGATCAACCTAATAGACGAATATACTCGGAAATGATCTTCCAGACATTATTATTTAGAAGGTATGGCGATTTTGAGACCGTAGATGTGGCACAAGGCCGAAAACATGGAGCACCCAGTAAGGATCGAATTCACTATTCAGGAATAATTGAACTAGCGAGACAAGCTTCCTAACCATTACGCCACTGTTAAGTTGCCATTATTTATCATCTATATGTGTATGTGTATTTGATAAATCCTTAAAGAGTGTTCAGTTAATGAACATTGTATCCAACACAAAAGATTTTGTAGATTTTGAAAATAAATTTTGGGAGAGAGAAAAAAAAAACTTTATGACTAATTCTGTCTGGAAGACACTATAGACTGTAAAGTTTACGTGTCAGACATCGCTAACGAATCAGACGTTGGCAAGAATTTTTGGCCAGCATGTTTGGTCTATTTCGATCGTTTTGCGTCTGCTGTATTTAAGATCATTCAGTCGAAGACCGGCCGGGCAAGGGTTAGGGTTGGAGAGAAGCAATGTGAAAAGGTTAATTCGAGGTTAAAGCTTACAACAATAACAAAAAAATTGAACGGAAGAAAACCAAAAGGGAGCAGGAGAAGGAATATAATTTGACCATATTATATCTTATCTATTGGCACCTGTTCAATCTCTGGGTCGGGTACTACAAAAATTGTCATATATACACAGATTCAAGAGATTGATATGTTTTTTAAGGTTTATCAACCCTTTATCGTTTATTTAAAGCCAAAAGCTATTTATCTGGAATTGTAAGAATACTTCTTTTTTGCGAGGGAATATTACAAGGGGTGTTGCAATAACTTGGACCGATCTTAAATATGAATTAAGTTTAAGCGTCTAATGATTTTTATTCTTTTTCTTTCTGTTACAAATGAGATCTTGCCCTGCTTCGATAAATGGTAGTTACCATCACGAGTCCCTGACTCGAAATGAAAACTGCACGTCTACGCATAGGCTAGACGCAGATACTTCCGTTTGGGATAAACTCAAAAAAAATTGAAAGAATTAAATCAACCAATCGGACCGTCTCCCGCGTAGTCAAAAAAATGCCATTTGGAGCTGATAGGCGTGTATAAGTTCAACACGGGAAAGTCAAAAGGGTCACGTCGCTCGCTCCTGACACACTGGCCCGGCGACGAACAAAGCATGTGACTGCTGCTGCTAATGAACTCTCGTCCGACGCTTTGTCAAAGGGTACCTTTCCCCTTCCATAAGTCAAGTTAACTCCACGAACTCTACTTGCCAGTACCATAGACATTCAACTTCTTAAATACAAACCTTTTACTTGTTCTTATTTTCCTCACTAAAAAGACTATAAAATATATCTACAGTCTTTCTTGTTCTTTCGATTCTGAATTTCATTGTTTGCAACCAAACGCAGTATTTCGCCCACATTGTTTTCACATCGCCCACGTAACTAAATACGGAATATAACATTTCAAATTTAACAACTTAAGTCTTTGGCAATTTCAACCATGGAAGGATTAACAATCAATCAAAGTGTTAAAGCTATCGAAGCCTATTAAGAAAATAGACGTTCAAAAAGATTTTGAATGAGAAGTTCCCAGGTTGCATCATCTCTCGAAACAGCTAAGTCAATTGGCCACCAGGATCGTGCAACTTGACACGTTTAGGTTTTTCCCTTTGGGATCATCTCAAAAGTAAGGTCTATGGCAACAAGCCAACAACAATTCAACAGCTGAAGGATGAGATAATAAGCATAGTGGTGAGATCAGGCAGCAACTATGCAGAGACATGATCAAAAATTTTGACCATCGAGTGGAGGTGTGCCGCCGAAGCATTGGCGGACATTTGGGTGAGATTATTTTTCACACATAATTGCCATGACTTAAATAACACGATCCAATAGAGAAATAAATAAATTTTCACCAATAACACTGATTTATTTACTGCTGACTTTGATCCGTATTAATGAAACACCCTTATATATAATCCGTCTTAATGAAACATCCTTTATATTCAAACTATAATTCTAATTGTAAATCACCACAAGCAAAATATGCAATATTTGCTGTATTCGTTAAGTCAAAACTCTGTAAAAAAAATTGTAAGAGATTACAAAAAAGTTTTCTCCCGAAATAAGATTTGTTAGATTATTTGATAGATCATAATTAATAAAAACTAAAAATAGATAAAGTTTATATAACACCATAATAGTATTGGGTACAAATTATAAAACAAAATGTTTTAAATTAGCCTTGTTTATTGAAAATCATACTAAAACCACTGCACTGTATAACATATAACATCACGATATAGGTAAATTATTCCATATAATTTCCCTTTGAAGTAAATGAAGGTCTTATTTGATAGCACAATGATTTAGTAATAATGTCCTTATGTCGTGCATCTTGTCCATATACAATTTGTGAAGTTTCAGTAAATTATAAATTTGATAAGGCTGTGTTATAAGGCTTTTACTGATGACCGGAATGAAATTCCAACGCTACGATTTTGAAGCTAAGCTAAAAAAAAACACAAAAAAAAAGCAAAAAACAAAAAAACGGTAACGATTATGGAAAAAAGTATTTTGTGTCATATCAAACCCCAACTTTCAAATTGAGTTCAATACCACATTTCTAAAATCGATCTGCTCTAATGACCAGTATTATAGAAGACTGGGTGATCGCCTAGGAACAAAAACTACTACAAAAAGCCAGTTTCAGATTAAAGTTAACTGCATCGACTGCTCACAGAGCAGTGGTTATCAGGCTTGTCTTGCGAACCATTTCTTTGTTAGTAAGCCCCATTCTACATAGGTACTTATAGTCGTGGCCTTGGTTCAAAGTAACAGAATCTTACTAATAAAGTATCTCAACGGTTAGCTAATCTTTCTCGGCACACTTCTTTTAGAGAGTTCGATCCTCACTACGTGCCTTACGGCTGATTTTTTTTTTATTTTATTTTATGCTAAAGTTCATCCAATATTAGAATTTAGAGTCATCCAAGGCAGAGGGGGTACTGTTAACATGTGACCTTGTTCTATACTAAGTTATTTTCCAACATCGCGGGCCTCTCATTATTAAATTCACGTGGCTAGAATATCCACTTACCATTTCACATGATAAGGGAGATAACTCGTATTAATTAATTGTGTTCTCAGTTAATTCGTCTTTGTGATGTCGGTTGTCTTTTCCCTCGAACCTATGGATGTGTGGATTGTTTAATGGATAGCGTTTCGCAATGAGAAATCAGAGTGCTGAGTTCGACTTCCAGTCGACTTCGTTGCATTCATTTACGCGTAAATATCCCTGGGAAAAATTATGAATCCATCTTTCCCCCCAGTTATAGGTTAAATAGTAAGATTCGTATCTAGCGAAATCATTGCTATCTTCCCCCAAAATTGTTAATAGGGTGTTTCATTAAGAAGGATCAGTCAGCAGTAAATAAATCAGTGTTATTGGTGAAAATTTATTTATTACTCTATTGGATCATGTTATTTAACTCATGGCAATTATGTGTGAAAAAAAACATTTTATGCCTAAACCACTATAGGTAGATCAGTTAATTATTGTCATTGTTTCAGTCAGTTATGTGCCATGCTTAGGCGATCATGTATCTTTCGATACATGACTGACGAGGCAGATTTTTTCCTGCAGTAGGTTGTCATTTCTTTCTGCGGTAGGCCAGTTGCCATCCAAAGCTATAGAACCCGGTCTATCCTGCTATTTACCAATAAGTAGGAGGAGAAGAGGATTCATATCTTTCCCAAGGTCAGTCAGTTATGTGCCAGGCGGGATACACGCTTAGGCGATCATATATCTTTCGATATATGACTAACGAGGCATATTTTTCCCGCAGTTGATTGCCATTTATTTCTGCGATAGATCAGTTGCCATCCAAATATTGGTTGGATCTTGCAGAGTCAACAGCCATCAAATACAATGGGGTGAATTTGGCTATAGAACCCGGTCTGTCCTGCTATTTACCCATAGGGGAGAAGAAGAGGATTCATACCAAGGATATTAGCACGTAAGTAAATGTAATGGATCTAACTGGAATTCGAACCCGGCTCTCCGATTCCTCAATCCGAGCCGCATTACTCCACCGTACCGATTTAATAAAAATAAATAATAAACTGTCGTGATGTTAATGATAATTCGAATTAGTCGCCCCCACCCAGCTTGCATCCAAACAGCGGAATCATCATCGGAGATGGCTGTGAAGAGTAATCAAAGAGAATTTGACGCATGATTTTTATTTTGGTGGACAACTCTGCTTGACGGAGAAGCCTACACACTTGACCAGATATGTTATGATGTTGATTTGGGGTTAGTAGAGACAAACGCCAAATAACACATAACAATAAAAAGGTTTTTAATAGGTTGGTAAAAAGGTACAGAAATCGCCTGAGTAGTCAATAACTAGCTCAGCTAAGAACTTCTCTGTCTATCTGTCTCCCCCATGTCAACTGACATGCCACTATTTAAAGTCTTTGTTCACAAACGCAGACAAGTTCATCTTCAAGAGGGGTGGTAGGTTTCCAACACAACAAGATATATAATTCGAATAAGTCATGGAATCTATTTATAAAATTCTGTGACTTCCGTCTGCCCGTCCGTCACACCCT